TATATATATATATATATATATAGATAGATAGATAGATAGATAGATAGATAGATAGATAGAAAGATATGTATAGATTGTCCACTTAAATTTAAAGAGAAAAATACGCTTATGATTTTGCTTTGTACGTTGGGTAACAAAATTTTATGAGATATCAGATTTTTGATACACCTGTTTTTGTTCACTTTTGTCCTCTTGTCCGCCATTGTGGATCACTTAATAAATTCCATTGAATAATCTGGGATGCTCAGTGGTGTGTTCTTTGTTTCATTTTGATGTGTAGGAGAGCTGGCTCTTCTTGTGGAAGGCCTAGGTGTTGGAGTAGATACGTCGATTGAGGAGTACATTATTGGTCCTAATCAAATCATTGATGACCAGGAACATATTGCTGATAAGGAACAAGTCACACTCTATGGTCCTGAAGAGGGTCTCTCATGGGTTGCACGTCCTGTGAAGGGCCAAAGTGTCCTCGGAAGCGCCCTTGGTGCAATTTCTCGCCATGGTAGCAGCTTGGAGAAACAGGGCAGCATTCCTCTCATGGATCCTCTGGTTACACTTTTTGGTAGCGTCCATGAAAAGCTGCCTGGTCCTGAGATGGGAAGCATGAGAAGCGCTCTATTTCCCAATTTTGGCAGTATGTTTAGTGTTACTGGGCCTAAAACTGAGCAGTGGGATGAGGAGACTGGCCCAAGAGAGGGTGATGACTATGTTTCTGATGCAGCAGGAGGGGATTCTGATGACAACATGCATACTCCGCTGCTCTCTCGCCAGACAACAAGCATGGAAGGGAAAGACATTGCGCCTCCACATGCTGCTCATGGAAGTGTAGGGAGCATGAGGAGGAATAGTAGCCTTATGCAGGGTGGGAGTGAGGCTCTGAGTAGTATGGGTATTGGTGGTGGCTGGCAACTGGCATGGAAATGGACGGAGCGTGAGGGAGCAGATGAGAGGAAGGAAGGAGGATTTAAGAGAATCTATCTGCACCAAGAGGGTGTGCCTGGTTCAAGGAGGGGTTCTGTTCTTTCACTCCCAGGTCAAGAAGTTTCAGAAGATACTGAATTTATTCAGGCTGCTGCTTTGGTAAGCCAACCTGCTTTGTATTCTAAGGACCTTATGGATCAGCATCCTATTGGGCCAGCAATGTTTCATCCATCGGAAACAGTTACGAAAGGATCTCTCTTGGCAGTTCTTCTAGAACCTGGTGTCAGGCAAGCATTGATTGTAGGTATTGGGATCCAAGTTCTACAGCAGGTATCTTTGTTTTTTTTTTTTTCAATGAAATATTTCTAACTATGATTTCTCTTGCTCCTTTATTATCTAACCTCTTGTAGGTCTTCTATAACTATTCTCTTTAGGACAGTCGCTCCGTCCCCTAAATTTTTTCTTCATTTTTCAACTAGCTGTATTTTTGAGTCATAAGTTGGCAGTTTATACTGTTACATTTTTGGTTGATATACACACATATCACACAAATCATATGTATTTACATATCTAATGCCAAAGCTTTGATATTTACGTATCTGACATCCAAGTTATTAACATCACATAAAAGATATCACTTCTATTAAATTTTTGAATTTAAAACACACTTTCATGTATATGTTTTGAAGTGATTGTGACATTAAAGTACTAGACATTTAAATGTCAAAGTTTAGATCTATATATATTGTATGGTATATGCAAACCCTTCTACATTTTCTTTGTATTCTCTCTAATAAAAAGGCCTTATAAATATTTGCAGGCCTTGAAAGGAGAAATTTCTTGTTAATATCAATGGCTACTTAATATTCAAGTTTATATTATATAGAACTCCATATTATTGTTTGTTATAGTTGTTTTTCCTGTGCCTTTTAAAATTTTTATAATTATGTTTTTTAATTGATACATTCTTACTTTCAAGTATACTGCCTACACTTGAAAGTTTTATGCTTGCTTATTTTTTTTAATGGTGAAGTTGACACCATATGTGGAAGTTGTGGAGAAGTTTTAAGTTTGGCAAAGCATATCACTAATACTTTTTCTGTTTGACCTTGTTGTTATATTTGATCAAGTAATAGTTTGTTTCTATGAACATGTAGCTTAAATTTGTGCAAATTTCTCATGCCTCTAAATTTCCTTTACATTTATTCAGAAGAACTGCATGAACTCCTAAATTAATAGAAACTTCACCGAAAGTTTTCTTTCAAGCGCCCTGCACCAGCACAACTGCTTAGTATATCAAATGCAAAGATTCTTTTTTAGTAAAAACAATTCAGTGCCAGAATTGTAGTTTCTGTGAGTCATTATATATAATCATTATTTTTTTGTGATATATGATTTTTCAATTTGCTAACAAGAAACTGTGACGCTGTCGAGAAGGAGTTTTAGTAAATATATCAGTCATTTGAAGATATCCAAATCCAGGAAATGATCTGAGCATTCTTTGCCTCGCATTCAACAAGATCTTTCTGCTCTGTAAGTGCTGGAGAAGACCCATCAATATGACCCCAAATCTCCTTTCCTTTCAAAAACTACTTGAACTGAAATTCCAATGTTGTATAATTATTTCCCATAAATCTGATTGCTAAGATTAAATGTTTTTCTCAGAAGACATTCTAAACAGAATTGTCACTCACAAGTTGATTATCAAGGAAGTTGTTGATCAAATTTAATCAAACCTAAAACCAAAGAAAATCGAGAACCAGCAATTCCAAGAATAAAAGGAAAACTATATATTCAACAGTAGGAAATTTGTCAGTGATCCTTGAGTGTAAAGAAGAAAAGCGTGCACTGCTTTGATTTCAAACCGAGACCGAAGGAGAGGAAGCTGAAGCCGAACCCGATGATCCTTGAGTGCGGAGAAAAAAAAATGTGCACTTCCTTGAATTCGAGCCAAGATCGAAGGAGAGGAAGCCGAAGCCAATGACAAAGCCGACGATCCTCGAGTGTGGAGAAGAAAAGCGTGTCGACGATCCTTGATTGCTGAAGCTGAAGCCGAAGACGACGATCCTTGCGTACCGACGATCTAGGGTTTGTACTTTGAGTATTGACGATCCTTCAGTGTCGATGATCTAAGGAGGATTTCGGCGCTGAAATATGATCTTGGGTTTTCTCTCTAACTCTGATATCATGTCAGTTTTTTGAGTAAATTGGTTGAATGCCTTTTACCTTTGCTTTAATTCCCATAAATAATAATCTCTACAATCTATTTAAGGTAACCTAATACATATTCCTAATCTAAATATATTCAGCTATAAGGAAAGAATATGTACAATTAACAAGAGATGCAAATTAGGAGAGAGAAATTGGAAACAATTTAAATATTTTAAATAAGAAAACTTTTAATTATAGGAAACTCCTAATTCAGCTGTCTTATTTCTGTCATTCTTGATTGATATCTACATCTTGAGCTTAATGTATGTATTAGATAACTTTTGTTTTCTTGTGAGTTATGCTAAAACTTTATAACCCAAAGGAAAGTGGATGTGGTTAAGTGAAGATTAGAATGGAAAACTGAGAAGAGAAGAAAAATTCACTATCATGCTCACATGAACTTTGATTTTAGGCCGGACTACACAAGGCTACATAAAACTGGCTCTCCTCGTGAAGATTGGGATTTGAGCGATATAAAAATGGCTATAGAATATGTTGTTCATGTAAGAATTACAACTGATGTACTGGAGGCATGTAGCCTAAAAACTCAGACTCTTAACATAGGGGCCCGTTTGAGGCGACGGTTTTGTTGCGGTGCGGCCTGTTGACCTCATTTTTGTGAGGTCTTGTCTTCTCCTCCTTAGAGCCTAGATTCTAGCTTTAGAAATTCCTATGGATCATCTTAGAAAACTAGAATTGAGACTCACTCTTCTAGAAATTCCAGCCAATTCCTATTTTCCTTTGATGTCTAGCATCTTTGGCACAAGACCATCGTCTTATGAACGAGCGGTTATGGGCTATTTTGCGAAGACTCAAGGAAAATGTTCCAAATAGGACTTCAAGCATTAGGAAAACATTTGTCACGACTTTTTCGTCATGTACATACACAAAGTACACGAAGTTCACGAAATTGCGCGAAATCGGACTTCAATTAAGCCCAAAGAACGGGTGAAAATGCGAACTTCTCCGGATGACCTCCGACGACAAATTGGACTGCGCCAACGGGTCCGGGATACCAATTTTGGTAGGAAATGACACCCATATTGCCATACTTTTGACACGAGAAAATTG